TCACATAAAAACATTACATATTAGTGAATTATGTGTCTTTTTTGAACCAAATAAAAAGTAATAACATATCACCATATAGTTGTCCAACATAAATTTATTTTATTAAAATAAAAATAAATATTTCCATCCTAAGAAAAATAAACTTATTTCAACGAATTAAAAACTTATGTAGCAAAGAAATTTTTAACATCTAGAAAAGCTTTAGGTCCCATTCTCACAATATTTCTACCTTTCTTTTCCATCAACAATTTGACTCATTATTTCATCTCTGACCCGATCTTTCTAGACTCATACAATGATCAATAACTTCTCTTTGTGATTGTTTTTTATGTATAAACCAATAAATGGCTAAACACATAATGTAGACAACTACCCTTCGATGACTTTCTCTCCAAAATACTCAATCATTGTCTCATTTCTTTGTTTATCCCATCTATATAGCAAAATATTAACAATAATTATTATTATCATAAAAATAAATACACTAACACTTGTATGAAAGAAAATAATATTAAAACAAAATTGAATTAGAAAATTTTGAGACATGAGGCATTTAACAATAAATCATATATACTACTAATAATAATACTAATATTTATCAATTACTCACATATATTAATTATTATAATACTAATATTTACCAATTAAGTTTGTGTGAAAAGCATACTGATATGTTTATAATCATAGCCAAGTTAATTTGTTTCAATGAAACATCTCCCTTTTCGCATTCTTCTTTCTATAATGTCCTGAAATTACCGACATCTCAAAATATAATATATTACATATAAAAATAAAAAATTTTGAGTTAGTTTGACATCTCATAAACCTAAAAAATATGTCTATTCATATTCAATCATTCATCAAGATCAAATTACCAAAAAATTATAAAAAATTTTGTATTGGAAGAAACATGTGAAACTTACTTAAAAAAGAGATGACTTTGAAAAAATTAAAGAAAGATTGTGATGTGATTAGATTTTTTTTTTTTACTAGGCTTTTGGTATTAATAAAAAGTTGGATATAATAGTCTTTTTACAAAAATAAATTTTTTTAGCTTTCCTTTCCTTAGCTTTTCCCCTAAATTAGGGTATTAAAAAAGTGAAGACTATAGGGAAAAGCAAGGGTTATTGAGTTTTCACATATTTCCTTTCCTTTAAATTAAAAGCTTATCTAAACAAAGGAAAGGTTTTTCTGTTTCCATTACTTTCTTTTATTTTCCTTTCCTTTCCTTCCATTTCCCTCAATCCAAACATATTGTAAGATAGCAGAAACCAATTAACAAGTAAGAAAACCAAAAGACAAATCACGCCTAAACAGAGCCTCAAGCTTACTACCAAGCCCAGACTAACGACTATGAACAACCCTCACCATCACCATCGCCTGTGCGAGACCTACTCAAACACAAAATTAATAATAATAATAAATAAAAAACCACATCCTCTTTCGAAAAGTAGTAGCAAAATATGTAAGACTATATAAATAGAATCACAAAATACAAATAAAGATAACCATCACCACTGGCAGTCATAATAGCGACAAAAAGGCAGCTCACTGTAACCAAGAGCATTTAGGAGATCTAAGACCATGGGAAGAAAGAGCAAAAAGTGGGCAACAACATACTAAAATTTTGGAAAGATCAAACTGCGATAAAGGTGTTTATCGATAGTTTGAAGTTTCAGACTTTTGTCTTAGTTCTACGAGTTTAGAGGCAAGTTTTAAGAAATCCAAACTCGGATCCATGATGAGGGCATTAAGGAGAGCTTGTGCTAAAAATTTAGAGAAGAGATAACATTAGCCAACGGTGGTAAACGATCCAAACGGCTGCTATTGTAACTGTCGCACTGTCAAGTTTTAGGTTTAAGATTAAAGGGAGACCACTTTTAGGATTTTTAAAAAGAGTAAGAATTTTTTTAGAAAGAGAAGCTAAAAAGAACTAGAAAAGAAGACTTTAGGTTTTGTAGTCAACAAAAAAAAGGTTGACTCGCAAATCGACTTTGACTCGACTTGCAAGCCCGTTTCATTAAACTTGACCTAACCCGGACCATCTCTTTGGCCTAGCAACCTTGTTCCTTGGGCGTGGTAGATTCTTTATTTTGGGCTAGACTTGCTAGCCCGATTCATCAAACTCGACCCAACCCGGACCATCTCTTAAGCCTGGCAACCTTGTTTCTTGGCCTTGGTAGATTCTTTTTTTGGGCTAGAACATAAAACCCAAGTGAGTTATACTAAAAACGTGGGCTTGCTATTTTCATGGTTCTTTTTTATTACTTTATTATTTTATTATTTTATTTTATTTTTACTTTATTTCATTTCCCTGTTTTAAATTTAAGGGTATTATGACAATTTGAAGCAAAAGAATATTTTCTTAAATTCTACCTAAATATTGGAGAATTTAAAAATTATTTTGAAACTAAAAATCTTCATTTTATCCCTAAATAAATGGTTTTGAAAAGATTTTTGCAAAAAATTAAAAAATTAAGAAAAATTTTTAAATATTAAAATTAAGACAATTTTTTTATCAAAGTAAAAAAGATAACATATGATCAATTAGTATCACTTTTAAAATGAGCATTGTACAGATGTTATTTTTTCTTACACGTGATTGTATTTTCGAACATGGTTTTATTTTTTATAAACAAAAATTTATCTTTTTACTAAATTTTAATTAACTTTAAGATTTTATTAAAAACATAAACTCTTTAAGAGGTCAATCACACTTAGCAAAAAATATTGGTGACGACTCCTTATTTTAATTTTTTTTTAATTTTGTCTAACGATCCCCAAAATCGTTATGACATTGATATCAAAGATATGCCAAGTGTTTATTTTTCTTTTCTTTTTTATGTTTTTTTCTTCTATTTTTATATATTTAATAAAATAATTTTTATTTTTTTTTTGTGGACCTATTTGATATTAATGGTATGCCACGTGTAAGTTATTCGATTCTTTTTTTTTTACTTTTTTTTTTTACATTTTTCATATGTTTTTTCTCTTTTTAAATATTTAATAAATTTTTTTAAAATTTTTAAAATTTCTTGAATACGTGGTCTATTTGATATTATAATTTAAAAGATATTTTTTTTATTTTTTTTAATTTAATAAATTTTAAAAAATATTTAAAAAAGGGCACAAAAATGAAAAAAATCAAATTCGAATGTAACATTAACAGTAATATTAACAGACTGTTAATGTTACATCCAAATTTGATTTTATTTTTTTTGTGCACTTTCCTTTTTTTAGTTTTTTATTTTTTGAAAATCTATAATATAAAATTTTCAAAAAAAGCTTTATCAATATTAATGTTGCATAACAACTTAACTTTCTTCCACTGTTAATGTTACATCCAAATTTAATTTTTTTCTTTTTTGTGCCATTTTTTTTTTTTTGTTTTTTATTTTTTGAAATCTATATTATAAAATTTTCAAAAAAACTTTAATCAATGTTAATGTTGCATGACAATTTAACTTTCTTCATTTTTATTTACTTTTTCTACATTTCATTTGTTTTCTTTTTTAAAATTTTTTTCTCCCTTTCATTTTTTAAATTAGATTTTTTTATAAAAGCAAACGAATATGAACACATGACATCCTATTTCGATTTTTTCTTACACTTTTTTTATTTTTAATTAGATAATTTTTACATAAAAAAGTTGGTAAATAAATTTTTGAAGAAAAGTATTAATGAAGATATGTATGACAAACTAATTCGTATCTAATAGATTTCGTTTCATCTTGATGTAATAGGTGCATTCTTTTTAATTTGTTATTGGATAAATTTTTTTTGTAAAAATCAAAGTCAAGTCAAATACGAATTTATGATATTTCTTCCTGCATAGGTATATGTAAATACATACTTTAGTATTCATTTAATTTTATGTTTATATATATATATATGTATTATATTAATAAAATTATTTTATGATACTTTAATCTAATAAATCTACATGCCACATTCATTTGTGTTTCTTTTCTTTTTTTGTCAATTTTTTTATTTTTTTAAATTAAATAAATTTTGTAAGAAAAAAATAGATGAAGGGATGACAAATTCATTGATTTTCATTTAATCTGATCTAATTTGTGTCAACTTTTAAAAATTTTGAAATAAAGTTAAGATTTTTTCTTTTTAAAAATCGAGGTAGAGTCAGAAGTAGATTTAAGGTCTTTTATCTTGTCTCGAGTATATATATAAAATTATATTTTTAATTATTTATTTCATTTATATTTATATATATATATATATTAACAAAATCACTATTTAATATCTTGATTAATAAAAATAATGTATTTATATATAATTAAGATGTGATTCATTCATCCATCCACTCATCTATTTTATAAATTTCACTTATTCTAATTTTTGTTTGACATAAGGTGTCAACGTGACATCTTATGTTTCTTTCTTTTTTTTCTTTTTTTTTTATTTTAATTTTTTAAAATTTAGATAAATTTATTAAAAAACTCAATAAAATTATCCATATACCATCTTAATTTAGTTTTTTTTGCTCTTTTATATTTTTTTAATTAATAATTTTTCCAATAAAATACATCAATAAATAAAATAGCAAAATAATTCGAGTTCATGGGCTTCAAACCAATTTGATATGATAAGGGATGATTTTTTTCTCTTTTAATTTTTTTATTTTTTATTAAATAAATTTTATAAAAAAATAATATCAATATGGGTAATAGTTCCATTTGGCTTGTTTTTTCATTTTTTTTTTATTTGTTTAATTTAAAAAAATTTTGTAACAAAAAAAAAATCAATCGATGAAAATATTAAAACAATTCATATACATAAAATTTTGATTCATCTAAATTTAATAAAAAATCATTTTTAAAATCGAGTTGGAATTAAGATGAATTGAGTTTTTTTTATAGCATACCATATTGAGGCCAAAACGTATTAAAATATTTTTCTCGATTTTTAGAATGATTAGATTGGATAACCAAGTCCTTATCACAACGATTAATTACTATATATATACATCATTACGATTTTTAGAGTAACCTACTTATAACAAATATTACGTAAATAAAATCCAACCGAACTCGCAAAACATAAGAAAACAAAACAAACAAAGAACAAGGAATCGGTAATAGATACTGATATGGCAAGAGACAGCTGCTTGGCTCGCGTCACCGCCGGCGTTGCAATCGGAGGAGCTGTTGGCGGCGCAGTTGGCAAGTTTCACTACTCACTAAACCCTAAACCCCATTGCTTTGTTTTAGTTACTGAAAAATAGAAAAAAATACATATATTAAATTTGTTTCAATTTCAATAACAATAATAATTATTATCAATTTCTAATATTTCTAAAACCGTGAAATTATCTGTTTCTGGTTTAGTTTAGTGATTCTAGAACTGAATATGTTTGAAATTTCTAAACTTTAGGGTTTTTGAACAAATAATAGGTATCTTCATAGTACTTTTTTCTTTCTTCTTTTTATTTTTTGTTTGGACGAGGAATTTTTCTGAATTTACTTTCTAATGTTGCTAATTTGCAAAGAAAGTTATGAGTAAAGGAAAACGCCAGAAGTAAAAATGTTTATTTATATTTTGTTTTATTATTAATAATTATTATCCTCTTTGAATTTTGAAAAGCCGATGTGAAACAAAAGCCCCCCTCTTTTGGTTTATGAGAAGGCCAATAAAATTGGAGGGGGAGGGGGTTTTAAACAAAAAGAAGATTTCTTGCTGAGCATTGCTGTTAGATTGGTCTGATCAACTGGGAAGAATTTAGTTATTAATGCTAGTATGTTTCATTTGGTAAGTTAAATTGTCTGGTATAGAGATAGTGGAGATATGTAGAAAATTAGTGAGAGTAAATTAAATAGAAATGAGTAGTAGACAAAAATATCCTAAATTATTAGTTTACCCATTCTATAAATTCCAAATCATCCTTCTCAAGATTCAACCCTGAGACCTCTAGGTCTGAAGGTCAAGTTTTAACCATTCTGGACATGGTGCCAGAGTTTAATGCATATTCACGTAATGTACAACTATCAAGAAACATGCAGCGCTACTGCTTTGTGGTATATTTGACTTTTAAAGAAAGAGGCACCATTCAAGGATATCGTGCTCTAGATGTTGAGAGAGGTTAGAAGGATGAGAATGGATGATTGGGAGGGAATTAGATGACTGTAGAGAGGTGGATTGCAGGGAGGGGGTCTTCCATTAGTATCTTTTAAATGTAGTAACACTTCCTTTCCTTGATCCTTTGTTTTTGACACTATTCTTTTTAATGATTTAGTGCATCATATTATGTTACACAACCTATTTTTTAATAATTTATTCTGGAACTGTAAATAAGTTTCTTTTATGTGATTTTGCTTGTGCAGGCGCAGTTTACGGGACTTATGAGGCTATTAGATACAAGGTAATGTCCGATACTTTAGTTTTCTTTCAAGAGATGAAATCATTTTGATTGTGTTTGCTTTTCTATTCTTGTGGATAACTTACCACCGCAATCACAAGTAGTGATGAAAATTCTGTGGATATATGATCCATATTTCTGTAAACCTTACAAGTATGTATGCTGTTGTATGCTGTGTTGTTGTTTTTCCTTCTTCCATGGTGACACTAGCTAGAATTAGGTATCTGGCCATGTGATGACTTAAAATGGGTTTGTCAACAATTTCGAATCCCATTGCATTTTGCATTTCTGTTCTTCTTTCAAATCTGATTAAGTTGTTTTGATGTGAATTAAGGGCAGTTTATTAATCACAATCTAGAATTAAATAATGCTGTCTTCATATGATATCTCAGTGACAATTGAGGGTTCTCTTTTGCTGTTTTTTTATTTTTATTTTTTATTTGAAGTTGTGCCTGACTCTGAATGAAATTATATTCTTTCTTATCTTCTTTGAGCCGTCATGTGATCCAAAATTCTAGAATCCAGTTGGTTGTAAATTTTGCTTCTTGGGAAGCTACTTTGCATTAGCTGCTGTGTTTTATCAGTGTAAAAGTAGTTAAAGTATGGTCTATATGAAGTTTTGCTTGAGCTTTGGCAGGGTCATTTTGGTATGGGCCTTGATGGTTGGGTTTCTCAAGAGTTTTGAGTTGTGAAATATCTTCCAATCCTATTACAGGTTTTACCTCGCATGAATCAATATGGATTGAGTTAGTAATTTTAGGGTTTAAGTTGATACAGAGACAACTACTTTAGTTGTTCTTGGATTTGCAGTTTTCAGATTGTTTAGACTTGTCTAACGTAGACCTTGAGATGTATATGTGCAAAAAGGTGATTTCATACATATAGAAGGAAGAAAGGAGAAAAGGTGATTCCGTACATATAGAAGGAATGAAAGGAGAGTGAGGCCTGGAATTTATATGGTTAAGGCTTAGCTGAGTGGGGTTGAGTTGTCTAATTTACAGATGGGTGCTTTTGTAATTATTTACTCTTTGGAATATGAAAAAGAAACAGTTCTTTGAGACAAGAAAACACTTTTCTTATGACAAGAATTTACTTTCCAAGTAGTTACTCGTTTTCTTTAGTTCACCTCTCCCAAGAATTACATACTTCTTTCATAAGAATTATGGAGCTTTACAGATCTAGGATCACAAAGTTTGGTTAAGAGACCTGTCCTTCAGTAACATAATTTGATAAGTTCCTGCACATTAATTTAAAAGAAAGGATGGGTTTAGGCTGGTATTATCATTTTGTATGTATGTCTTCATGCATTTGGAATTTATTCTTGCATATCAAGATTTTGTATTGTGGCATCATGCAGGTCCCAGGACTTCTCAAGATTAGATATATCGGCCAAACAACACTCGGTAGTGCTGCGATTTTCGGTCTTTTTTTGGGTGCTGGAAGCTTGATACATTGTGGGAAGTCATACTAACTATTCTCTGGCTGTCTTTAATCCTTAAGATTGTATTCTCAGGATGATGCACTGCTAGCTTAGATAGAAGGTCTATAATGCTTGTAAGCCTTGGTTTTGTTTTTGGGTTTCTGTTTCACTCAATTATTGAATCCAATGTTCAAGTTTACATTTAATCTTCTTAATTTGAAGACTAGCCACCATTTTTTATTCACTTAATTTTTTTTTTTTTTTGTAAAAAGAGGCCATAACTTTAGGATATGAGAAGTATCTGGCAAGGGAATAATGTGTAATCTGGCAAGGGAATTTAGAGTCTTTTGCTTCATCAAGATCTTGAGGTCTATTTGTTGCTCCAATGACTATAATTTGCTCACTTTCCAGAATCAATGCCTTCCATTTCAACCAAAACCTGTGTTCTAAGTTGCCTGATGCCTTCGTGCTGAGAGTTTGATGACCGCCTAAATAGAAGACAATCTATCACATCGAGGAAATAAAAGATGCTTGCAAATGGCGGGCAAGTCCAAAGAGTTCCCTAACAAGCTTTAGACCTTCACCAAGCCACTTGCTTGGTAACAAAATAGTAGATATATTGAAAAAAGTAGCTTTCATTTCTCCAGCTATGGCTTTTCCCATCATTAGTGGACAAAAAGCAGTAAAAAAGATATCAGTTATCGAACTTGCTTTTAAAAAAAAAAAAAAAAAAACAACAACAACAAAAGAAAAAAAAAGACAGCTGGCTAGAAGAGAAAGAAGAAGAGATTTTCCTCCAAGTAGTATTTGCACTTTGTTATGGTTTAATCGCTTATCACAGGGCTAAGGATTTCCTCTCTTATGTAAATGTGATAGAGGTACACAACTCCACTTTAAACTTAGGTTTTATCTCTCTCTATCTTATAATAATAATAATAGGTTTATTTAACTTATTACTTTCAATTACCCTCAAAAGCCATTTTGCCCCATTTTTCTATAATTAAATTTGAATACAAATTGAAAAAAAAAATTTAAACCAAAATGTCAAGTTGACAGAAAATCTAAGGTGATTTTCACTTTGTTATTAAATTATCATGTTTAGTAAAAAATTTATAACTCAATAATTTATGCAATAACATTGCTATATTTAATAAGAACTTAGGTAAATTATAAAGTGAATAATCGTATCTCAATAAAAAGACGTTATCTTCAAATTTAAATCATTAAGGATGATTTAATTTTCAATCAAAATGAATATAACGTCGAAAGCACCACTAGCTTACGCTTTGAGCCACGCGTGAAATCCCATGTGAATCAGCAAGGATCATCTTGCAAGGCTAAATTTTCCTGAGCGACTAATAACGAAATAATGCTGTTAGAGAAGGATGAAAAAAAAAAATTCAGAAGGTGAAGTAGAACATAAAACGGTAAGATCTCAAGTATTGTGAGAAATACAAGACTATGACCATGTGTCTGTTGAAGAATGAACGAACGACTCATACACAGTGATTTGGTTAAGAGAACATACAAGAACCCCAGCGAAAGTTAAACTTGATAGGACAATTGTCACTTCTTATACAGAGTTCCTTACTAACAATTATAATTACTTTTATATAGATCTTAAATTTGGTTAAAAAATATCTTTCTAACTCAAAAATGGATCATGTGCTACTTTCTTTTTTTTTTTTCTGTTATTTATTTATATCATTTTTATTTTCCCTAAGCTTTTATGTACTTGCGAACGACGATGCAATTCTTATCCTACAGCAAGATCAGCATTCTTAAATCTAAATTTACAAGCCTTGTTGACATGTCTGACCATCTTTATTTTTACCTATTTGTTTCGGAACATATGTTATATTATAAACAAAATAATGAATCATAGTGTTGAATTATGTTTTTTTTTTTTAAGAAAAAAAAAAAAAGAAAACTCAAAATGAACTCAAGCTACCAAAATATGCACAAACTCTACAAGCTCAGGCAAAATGAGGATTAAGCTTTCTAGCATCTAATAAATATAAATCATACCAAAAATCAACTAAAACTATTTGCTTAGTGATACTATCTCAGTGAACTCTTCCAGCCAAGTGCAAAGAAAACAACAATCTTAAGGAAGCGAAAATAAAAAAAATAAAACTCAAAGGATGCTTTCCCTTGGGGCAGATGGCAGCATGACAGTAAAATATTCTACTGAGGTGTTTGGCCATGTAGTGGGGGACCTGGTGGTGGCGAAGGCACCATACCAGACTGCAATAAGTGGAAGTATAACAAGTTAGTTTCTTATGAACTCAAAGTAAAATACCTAAAAACAAGCCTCGGTCGAGAGATGGCTGCATGCAATGCAGGAGAGTTATAGAATCCCGGTAGTAGAATCAGATATGTACAATATTGTAAAATATCAAAAACCTAGTGCGTTAGAAATTGTTGAATTTTGAAGACGAGTTGCTCCATATCCTTCAGGAAATAGGATATCTTGATTATTCTAAGTCCAGACAAAATAAAGTTAAAAGTCACTCAGTATTGGTTTTAAACAAAAGTGCAAGATTTCGGAAGGGAATGTAACAGTTTTCAATTAAGCTTTTCATTTCACCATAACCAAAGGGAGCATTGAGAGAGAGAATTTTGTGATAGCTTTTCATTTTGCTGCCAATCAGTTCCACTTTGTTCTACCACTACCATTGATTCTGGCTGCATATCCAGCCACCAACATAAATATGGTGACAGAGACACAGAACAGATACATGAAGAGTGAATGATGTTACAGCAGCAAAGAAACTTCTCTAATTTACCTGATAAGGATTGAACGCCGGCATCATAGGCATCTGTCCACCCTCTGTACGATTGAATCCACTGCCCTGGGGATACAATTGGCCTCCACCTGCATTTGCTGGGCCATGCATATTTTGCATACCATTTGAAAAACCTCCAACTGACGGGGCACCAATGTTTGGCAAGGATCATGTGTGCATTGGATTCTTGCCCACAAAATGGCCATGTGGCAGAGAAGGCATCTGATTCATTGTACCTTGCATACCCTAAAATTTTGAAATAAGTTTGATTAGATTAAGCTTCTTAAATTTGTCTCTTAAAGAATGAACTTAAAACAAATACTTTAGCATCAGACATTTACAGAAGAATCTACCCTGGCTGCATGATTCAAAGTATGTAGGATATTATTGCATGCAGAAGTAAACTGGGTATTTGCATCAATAAAAAACCATCAAGCACAAAGTATTTCTGGAAGATTAATAGCCAGCTTGAAGTTACAAGACGATTAAACTTCTGTTCTCACGTTTATTTACAAATTTGCCATAGCTTTTAAGATTTTCAATCCAAACTAAATAACTATATTCTATTAGTGCCAGATGTCAGAAAATTAAATTATTTCCTATTCCACTTCTCAAACAAAACATGAAACAATTTTTGAATTTAGGCCAAGAGGTTCATCCACATCCCATATTCATAAATCCAGCTTCACCAGAAATAAAAGCCATCCAAGTATGCAACAACTCGGGCAAATGAATTGAAACTGAAATCAATTCCACACTATTTGAAAACAAATATTAACTACAAGTAAATGGAGCTAATAATTTGAAACTGACAAACATGGTTGCAAAATGGAATAATATGTAGTAGAGATATGTAAAAGGTCATACCATTGGACCAGGCATTGCTATTGGATATGACATTGACATTGATGAAGGTAGTGGTAAAGATCCTGGAATTGAGGACGGGATGGTTGAAGGCATACCAAGGGGAGGCATTTGTGGTGGAAGGCGTCGTAAGTGAGGATGTGGAAGAAGGGGCATATGAGATGGAGGTTGTAGCTGTGGCATATTTGGAGGTGCCATTGGAATAGGAGGCATTTGCTGTTGCAGTGCCAGTTGTTGCTGTTTCTGAATCTGTTGAGGGTTTTGTTGATATCCCTGCTGCTGATTGGCAACAAGAAGAGATGGATGTGGACCAGGAGGAAGAGGAGCTCCAAAAAGCTTGTAACCTGGAAGAGATTGCTTTTGGTCCCCCTAAGAAGATGCATCAAGAGATGGAACTGATAATGGCACTGGAACTCCAACACCAGGAATCATTACCTCATTTCGATTCAATCCAGCAGCAAATGGTCCCGGATTTGTTGGACTTTCAGATGCTGCAAAATTACCAGGCATGCGACCAGCTAGTGCAGGGTTTTGCTCACCATAGCCTAGATACAGTTCATAGGACTATTAAGTATAGACCAATGTATAAATGTTCCAGCATATTTAAAGCACAACATTGAGCTTTGAATCAAATCCAGTGTGTATCACACAATTGAATTCTTCAGGCAAAGTGGACAAGCTCAACTGTTTAAACACCTCTTTCTTTTCTTCCTTTCTTTTGCCATATTATGAGAAAGAGGTAAAAATGGTAAAGAGCAGGGCAATAAGTAGAAACCTTGGTTCTGACCCATGTTAAATTTATCACGAGCAGTATCTCCTGGTCTATTTCTGCACCAAAACTTCGTTGTATGATCATTGCTACCACTGCATAAGTATGGATAGAAGTTAAACACCTGAAGATGGGCTTGACATACAATTTACAGATTGATAAAACTATAAATGCTTATTAGCATAATGCTTTAGATAAGTTCTATGTTCCAACTACAGCTAATATGGAAGAGAACAGAAAACCAAATAACATAAGACAAGCCCTAAGATTACAAGCAGTAGAAAAACAGTAACCAGAATCACGAAGTTTAGAAATTGATGTATTCTTGCTTTAGAGAATCTTAATGAATCTTATCAGTTAGAAGAGCATGTTCAATAAACTTTCCAGAGCCACCCACCAAATGGCTATTGCTTACAGTGCCAAGACATATCAGCATCAATGCTAGCATAGCATGGAACAACGCAAAGTGGAAATACAAACACTTGCACAAAGAGTGGCATAAAGATACCAACTTCGCTCCATGTGCACATGTACATGGACAAGAACCTAAATATCATTTTCCTCTGTATACCAAGAGACTTGGCACTAAAAATTTTTGAAGATAATGTATAATGAATTTCACAGCACTTAATAAGATGATTGATCTTAACAGATCCATTATTTTAATATCTTTTTGGGAAATTTCAAATATGATGTGATTAACAACATATTCAGACCTACAAGTATTTAAGCATTCAAGTCATGCATGCATTTTGTCCACTTGAGCCTCAAATTCAAAGAC